GACGCCTCAGCCGTTTTGAACACGACGTGGTATTCTAACCACAACAAATGGTGACACCCGACGTGCGGCGAGGATGCGGCCTAGACTGAATTGGATCGAGGTGGCTTGCGGTGCACACACAGAGAGAGGAACTGGGCCCATTACTTTCAGGTAGGCTGGTTAACTGTTTGGACCTTAAGGTCCGGAGTTTCTGGCTATTCGGCCATAAACCAAATTTAACCAAATTAAAATTCCTCTGTTGGTGTGCATGCGGCCATCTCCGGAAAATAAAGATGGTTTTATTTAAGATAACTTCCGGTGATTCGTGTTAATTCTGACGAGGTGGGTTACGATATTCAGACAGTTTAAGCGCCGAACGCTTTCTTTGACGTTTAGGTAGTGTTTAGTTAGTTTCACAAGTTTCACTTGTGGCCGGAGGAAGGCGAGACGGCCTGCCGGGAGTTCACGTCAGACGTGGGCGACACGTTTTCCCTCTTTTCAGCGGTAGTGGCGCACAAAACGGTCCTCTGACGAGGGGGCCGGAGACCGGGTCGGGGACCCGCAGCTACGTCCGCGTCTGCGTTGTGGGTGTTGACTGTCCACTAAAGTCGGTCGGGTGGATCGGGTAAGGACGGAAGATTACCAGCCCTGACCGTGAAGAACAGAAGACGCGTCAAACTGATTTTAGTTTTGTCCCAATACACACACGTCATTTAGAATGTTTAATCAGACTGATAAGGTTCTGAGGACTTTACATGAAGATAACTCCACGGGCCGAATCCCGCCGAGCACCAAAGGACCCTTGTGGACGAACAAGGGCTCCCACCGCAAGCTCAAGAACCGAAGACCTGCTAGATAGAAATATTTAAATTGAGGGTGTTGGCTTTTCCTGTTTAATATGAGTGTTTTGTCTTACCTTTCAGTCATTCTGAAAAACAACCAGAGAAGGGTCGTGGATTCAATTGGAAACTTAACTATTCATTTAACTTGACTATAAACTTAACTTGACTATTAACTTAAATATTCATTAACTTAAATATTCAGTTAACTTAAATATTCAAATATTTTACTCCATTCAATTGGGCATTTAATCATTCTAAAATACCACGAGAGATTTTAAAGGTGGTTTAAAATAGAGTTTCACTTATTTATCTTTCTCTAGGCGGGGTGTTGCCGCTTTTTTGTATTTTTATAAAGGTTTATGTGTGTGGTACTTTTCACAGGTGTTGGATCAGGGGTCTGGTCCAGGACCCCTGGGGAGTGTAGTAAGTTTGCGTCACGTCCATATTGATAAATCCATAAAGAGGGTGAACTCCCATGAATATGGGAGTTCAAAAGAGGGAATGTTGGATTTAATATTTTATACATTTTTATAATTCCTATCAAGCACT